TCCAGGTCGCGTGGTGAGAAACGATCACCTCAGTCACGGAGAAGAGTGGACGAGGGCGGTGATGAGACGGATAGATGGTGGGATTAGTCGATACCACATCCGCTTCTCGGTCAGCACAGCCATGAGTAAGTGAACAAACAGTGCGGTCGACGGTGCGTTATAGCATGAGCTTCCTGTTATCGATATCACGTCACCTAGATTAATAGCACTTCCCGCCGCCAAGAAAGCAGCATGTGTCATGGGTGAGAGAGGTAGAGACGCGGGTAGAGTAGGCATTCGAAGCTCTGGGTGAGTTTTGAGCTGTACCTCGTGCTGCCTGCCGTCATTGCAATCCGAGGGGAGGTGAAGAGCCAGAAAGGTACTTCACCGCACAAAGAAAGCTTCACAGTGAGCGTGAGCAAACCTGCCTACCCTAGCTTAGGTTTCCGGAGATCGCGTTTCCTCAAGCTGGTAATTCTCCCTTGGTAACTCGAAGAGGTGCGCAGGAAGAACAAGTACCTACCTTGCCTCCCCTCTCTTCTTCCTCCGCCCTTTCCCTTCCTGGTCGCTTACAGTAAGAGTACCTGCCTTCCATGTGTGAAGTGCGGTACGAAACTGAGGTACCAAGTCTACCTAGTCGAGCCCCTCTCCTCATCCATCACTTCTCACCTCCCAAGCAACTCACTTGTAAATACGCTTGGGATAGTGTACTGTACGTAGGACGGGTCCAGCTACTTCTCCTCCATCCCAGGTACCTTATCATCTCCGCGTATCTCTTTCTCCGCTCAAGCTTCCTTGGTGCTGGGTCGGATCGTGTCCTCCACTCCGTTCGTACATAGCCTTGCCATTTCATTGCTTCCTTCGACAAGATCGCGCCGTTCTGAGGCTACCGGCTCGCGACAGCCTCATCTGCTTGGGGTCAATGCGATCAGTTCTCAAGAACAGCAATTCCTCACAGGCTTGGCGGTCGAGGCTCAACTTAAAAGGGCGAGACCAGGAGAGTGCACGTTTCGCCTCATTACCGTCCTCAGCGGTGGCCCAATCAATTGGATCCTGGCAGAAACGTCCGGGCACGGATGTACGTATGTATGTATGT